GTGGTTGGGGACTCCGGGGCCCATCAAAAGACTACAGCAAGCTTACCTAAACCAAACTAAACGCATGTATCTTAGAAAATTGACGCCGCAGAGGAAAATAAATCAAAATAAAATCTTATTAGCTGCAACTTATAATCACTTTACTATTCAGAATACAACCGTCCAACATAGAAGCAATTCGATAAAAGAAGATCACCAGAGGGTTCCAGACATAACCATAAGCCTACTTGAAGAGATTGGGATTCAGCCAGTCCCTAAAAAAGACATTATAGAGAATGTAAGTTGTCAATAAGCTCATGAAAATATTGGAAGATTTAAATACATGCCACTTAATTTCTATATATTTACATATCTAAAACCTTAATGTTAATTTTCACATGTATGCAAAACCTTTACCTATGCCTGAAAAAGGCGTATTTAACTTTTTAAAAAGTTAAAATAGAGGTGCTTTTGATGTGATATGAAAGATATGGATGGCACAAATGTAAGAAAAGTAAGTTTAGTTGTTAGATATGCAAATACATAGGAACTACTTGATGGTATGTATGTAAATGCCGCTAAAATATTTTAGACGAATAAATAATTGAAATGCAAGTGTTTACTTGCTAATGTCATCAAGATGATCATCAAAGTCCACGACTTCATTCCACTTCTCAGTAGATATATAGTCCAATAAAACTATATTGGCTGAAGTTTCTTTGGTGGTCAGCAGAGAGCTTCCTCCAGATCCAGCAGACCGCCAACTTTTCGAGGAATCCCTCGTAAACAACTGCAGGAAAAGAAAGAGATGATAGAAGCTGAATGAGGTGAGATATTTCTGTAAAGTTCATTGGATCAAATCTTAAATTTATGTATTGACATTAAAATTTTATTTATAAAAAACACAGATATCAATAATTATATAAGTTTCTAAACCAGGATTAAACCCAGTTGGATGGTTGGGTTGTATTTAAAGCAACATCCAAACGGTTAAGCTATTAAAATGTCATAATTTAATGTTAGCCAAAATTAAGACCAAATAACCTCTTAAGCTAAACCCAAACTAGGCCCTTTGAACATAAATATAAAACCGCTACAAATATGAAAAGTGGAGGCTAAGGAATGCTCCCATCAATGCAGTTCCAAGTTTCCTCCTTGCTTGGAAGATGAATTTAAAAAGTTTTCAAGCAAAATTTAAAAAGATTTCTCG